TCAAGCTCAACTGATGAGGGGTGAATTCCCCGAAACACTGTGTATTGAGCAGGGAGTGGTGCTTTCTTGCAGGTTTGCCGAGTCGAAGGTTCGATGGACTTCTCGTGTGCTCTGGATGGCAGTCGTGAGTCAGTCAAGACAAGTGTCAAGTAAAGTCGGCGGAATAGCGCGAGCTCCGGTGTGGGGAGCAAACCCTTTCTTACAAATTATCGCCGAAGTCGCAACCACTACTTCGTACTGTTGTGCCCAGCGCGGGCTTGCGACTAGTTGGTTTGGAGGTGACAGCGTTGCGAATGACCGAGGGTCCTCGACGTCTGTCTCACCGTCCAGGAGCGACACTGACTCACGCTGCTATCTGGTGTTCACGAGGTGTTTGTCGCGCTGAAAACGGAGCGTCTCTGTAATTTTGTATCCCTGGTGATGTTTGTGCCTGGAGAGCACTATATAAGTGGTGCTCTTCAGGCACAATCTTCCTCAGCCTACGCAAGCTCAACTGATGAGGTTGAATTCCCCGAAACACTGTGTATTGAGCAGGGAGTGGTGCTTTCTTGCAGGTTTGCCGAGTCGAAGGTTCGATGGACTTCTCGTGTGCTCTGGATGGCAGTCGTGAGTCAGTCAAGTGTCAAGTAAAGTCGGCGGAATAGCGCGAGCTCCGGTGTGGGGAGCAAACCCTTTCTTACAAATTATCGCCGAAGTCGCAACCACTACTTCGTACTGTTGTGCCCAGCGCGGGCTTGCGACTAGTTGGTTTGGAGGTGACAGCGTTGCGAATGACCGAGGGTCCTCGACGTCTGTCTCACCGTCCAGGAGCGACACTGACTCACGCTGCTATCTGGTGTTCACGAGGTGTTTGTCGCGCTGAAAACGGAGCGTCTCTGTAAGTTTGTATCCCTGGTGATGTTTGTGCCTGGAGAGCACTATATAAGTGGTGCTCTTCAGGCACAATCTTCCTCAGCCTACGCAAGCTCAACTGATGAGGGGTGAATTCCCCGAAACACTGTGTATTGAGCAGGGAGTGGTGCTTTCTTGCAGGTTTGCCGAGTCGAAGGTTCGATGGACTTCTCGTGTGCTCTGGATGGCAGTCGTGAGTCAGTCAAGTGTCAAGTAAAGTCGGCGGAATAGCGCGAGCTCCGGTGTGGGGAGCAAACCCTTTCTTACAAATTATCGCCGAAGTCGCAACCACTACTTAATAATAATAATGATAATAATAATGTCTCTTTCCCTCAAACCAGTTAATAATAATAATAATAATAATAATAATAATTTGATAACCGCAATCAATAGAACTAGCTGAACCGACATTGTTGTACTTTATTCATGCAATGTAAAAACGGTGGAGACAGCAATAAACTTCACACCATTGGAATTGACTGCAGACGTGCAGAAAGAGCTCCTTTGCCGTGGCACTGATTTTGGCGTTCCCCCTACATCAAATAAAAAAGAAGTTATCATGACCGAGCTTGAATTGTTTTATCGAAAGTTATTAAGTTTTACGCCAACATTAGAGGCCCAACAATCAATATGCGCAGCAAAGATCCGAGCTGAGGCTGAGGAGCATGCGGACAAACTTCCAGATAAGCGATCATTTTCCTTAGGCCAGGAACACATGAAAGCCCTTAAGTTCCGCCTCGCAAATTTCACACCTATCAAATGAACTGACCAAGTACTATACTGCACTTTGCCTGAGCACCCATTATTATTAATAACACAATCCCTTGGCCTGGTGTTGGCGATGCCACTCTGCTCACGCCTGCCCATCACCAAACGACTCCCTACTTGTAGCGATCTCACTGGCCCATTGCCCGCCACCCTCCTGGCACCTCCACCCATCTGCTGTACACTGCCTCCCCATCGCCTCTTTCCGCGCTTTCATGCTCACACTTGCCTGTTGCCCGCCACCCTCCTAGCACTTCCACTGTCGCGCCTTGGCCCACGCCAGCTTTCTCCCCATACCTCACACCAGATTTAGCGCTAAATTGGGTTATGCTGGTGGCCCTATGTGTTTATAAGCATACTGTTGGGTAGACCCGAGTATCAGTTGTCTGATGATTGCCTAGCGGCATGAAACTCAGAGTTACAACCAACCTGAACGTCCTCCGCTGAGTCTGCTATGTAGGGGTTATATATTATACATGTACATGTATCATTATTGATAAGAATTATTGCCACACTCTGAACGTATTTTTTCATTCATTTATCAGCGTTTTGTACAAGCCTAATTTGCTTACAGAAAGATAGTATAAATAGGCTGAAATCTTTCAGGTAGCGGGTCGTGTTTGGTGTGGCCAAGCTTGCCCGATAGTGTTCTAGGTGAAATCATGTACGGCTGTTATGTGTTATCACTTTGTTTTTCTTTCTTTCTCTTTTTTTCATTTTTTCATTTGCAAGTTAATTGTGAGTTGTCAGTATGATGCAAGCCAGATATGGATTGATCGAAGCAGGATTGATTTGACATCACTGTCGATCAGAGTCATACTGTAGCCCAGCTGGTTAAAGCATTGCTCGCGAATAGCCAGGTCCCTGGTTCGAGTCCTGGTGGTGTGACTGATGATTTTTTTATATCTGGCTTGCAAGTGTTGAGTTTCGGAGAGAGAAGAGCAGTACGAGGCACGTGGCCTCTAATTTCCACATGTTGTGTATATGCATATACACATGCATAAACACATGCATAGAACATATCAGAAAAGCACCACAATCTGACAATTGTTCTGCCGGCATAATCAGCCAAGGTCTATCTACTTATACCTCATTCGTTCCTACTCGGAGGGAGTTGTAGTTGCTCGTGACAGTGCTCAATACAACAATACCTCCTCATTCATTCCTTTTACTGCGAGGATACAACACGGAAAACGTGGCCCCGGTGCATATTATCTGTTTTCTTGTTGCGTGTGTGTCTCGTAGGTATGTCATCTGCAAGCGGAGAGATTCGGCTGGTGTTCCCCGCATTGTCGTAATGAACGAGACGATCAAAAATGACTGTGCTGCAATGGAGCAGTTTTAATCCCTTTTTAGCGATATTGACTCGCTTGACTTTTTTATTAGGCTGTCAGAGTATTAGCGAAGCGGGCATTGAAACGTTCTCTGTCATTTTCCTATAAGAGTTTGCAGCCCTAACCCAATCAACTGGACCGTGTTAATATTAATATATCCTGCTACAACCGCTGAACCAGCACTGTATGGCGTGAATTAATGGACAGTGCAATTTTTTTGCACCTACATTATACATGTACATGTACATGTTCACTGTACAATACAAAATATGCTACGTGCACATCCCTACAAAAATAATGGAGATAATGAAAGGGACACCGACAAAATAATACAAACACAACAAGGGAGTATAGTAGGTGTTACAAGAGCTGTGCTGGTCAGGCCCAGCGCTCTTCTCCGACCATTCCGGTCTCGGAATCAACATGAACCGTGCGGGCCAAGCTATGAAAAATGCAACAGAAAATGGGCAAGACAGTATGTTGACGTGTTGTCTTTCGCTGAAAGTCTTAAAAAACCTCTCTATAGTTAGTACAACAAACTAACTGTCCTCCTCCAAGTGCTCTGAAGCCGACCATTGCTACCCTCTGTAGCCATACATGTAACTCACACCTATATAATATAAAATAAGTATAATTTCAAACAACGAATAGGTCACGGGTAAACATATTTTCCTTCTGAAAGCTGTTTCGCCTATCAAAAGCTCGTCGGAGAGGGTGATACTGATGTTGTAATTGACATGGCATGATTATAATCATTATGGTGTAGTGTGGGCGCAACGAACTACGTAAGGTGTAACACTGAGAAGTTACAAGATACAGTAAACCTGTAATGAAAGACCACCGTGAGTAGCGACCACCGTGAGTAGCGACCAGCCTGGTACTACCGAGCACTTCGCCAGACACGGACGGTCTCACATTCAATATAATTGATAGTCATAATTGTATTGTACTAGTAGATCTACTACCAGGGACTCGTATAGAGGGTCTATACGACTCCCTGCTACTACTAAGTACTAGCAGTAGTTTCCTTCACGCATGAGCTAGCTAGGCCATAGGGGAAAGCGCTGGTCTCGTGCAGCAGTGCAGAGTAAGCTAACCAAACACAACTGCGCACGACGGAAGCCACCTTCTGTCACACACGGCGCGTGATATAAAAATAAAGTCTGAGGAACAAATAAAAGGCCGTTTACTGCTCGCGTCCACCCGTGACGGGCTACTACAACTACGGTGCTGGGAACTGAAATCCGACCCCCTGAGCGGTGCGTTCACATTCTAGCTGTCTCTATCTTCGTAGTTTTACCATCCCGTGTTGGGTCTTTGCGATGTGAATGCACCGCTCAAGGGTCGGATTTCGTAGTACATGATTGCATTGTTGTCATGATTGTACTACTAGTAAACAAAACAGTGTTCTGTGGCCAAAGTCCAGCAGGCCAGCTACACACATACTTTTAATGAACACCTCACTCACGTGTGCTAGAACCAGGAGCGCCCAAGCTGAAACGTTCAAGAAGTGGTAAGTCGAACAACCACCATGAAGATCCTTGCAGCTCAGATCATCATGCACGCAGCTAGAAGTCACTTTCGATTTTTCTTTATAGTACTGTACGTTTTACATAGAAGAAGGATGCCAATTCAGCTTGGCTTCCGTTCAAGGTTACATTGATGGTAACGATGGTAAACGGTCATTCATTCTGACTCATCTGAGTGCTTGAGGCATCAAATAATTCGTAGGATGCATTAGTAGATCATGAAAGACAGTCTGAAACAAGTGCGAGCAAGGCGATCTTTTTGGACAGGTTCCATTCAACACAGAGTATGATAGCTGCTCTAAAAAACGCCAACGCGTGTGATTTCGAGCTGTCAGTTGCATCGGGTCTGCAAGCTGATTCAGCTCAGAACAGAGGGACTGATATCACAGCACAACTATCTGCTCCTACCGACTACACTACAGTACAGCGGCTGTCAGAGGCCATCGGCGTGAACCAGTCAAGCGATGACTTGTAATTGTGCCAGCTCAGCCCAGCGATGTTCTGAATAGCCGCAGAGAGTGTCAAATCAAGACGTGACCGGGCTCATATTATCATGTGAAGACCAGTCTGCTGCAAAGCAGAAAGTAACTCGCAGCGTTCGAATCTGATCTCAGTATCACCCCGCTGTTCTCCGATCAGCTTCATCTTCTTTTGATTTGATCAAACTTTCGCTGCAAGTAACCGGCTCGAGAATTATTTCAGAAGGGCTGGTGAAAGCGTGGACGTAGGCTGAACCGGCCATTCAAAGAAGTCCTGGGCCTAAAACGATTCCCAGTTTGTGGGACTGGAAAGGTGACGCTCAGGCCATCGACGTTATCAGGCACGCGCGGCCCACGAGTAGGCGCCTGCGCTGGCTCCCCATAATCGTGGACGCGTAACTGTTACTTTGAACAGTGACTGGCGCTTTGTGCAGCGAATTCGCCACTTCACAACGAAGAGCGGCACTTGAGAAGTCATTCCGCTCAGGTAAGAACCGAGTCTACATGACTGTATCGTGTGTATAGGAGAGGGGTTTTCTGAAGCATACTTGCGACATGAATATTCAAAATGACTGTGAGCCAGATTTTGGTAGAAACGGGCTGCGAAAAATACCCTATGACTGGCACTTGCAGAACGAGTGCATGCATGCATGCATGCTTGCTGTGTATGCTGTCCTGCGCCCCGTGGAATGGGGTAGCTCACGCGACACCAACAATGGCATACTTGCAGATTACTTGCAGATTCTGCAATGTGTGCATAATGACATGACCATTGACATGTAACACGTAGCTTTTGACCACTGCATTATCACGACTTGTGTGGCTGATAACGTTAGAAGGTGTGCTCTGTATGGGGGGTGTGCGCATGCACATAATACATAATACAATGACGTACATGTATAGGGGTGGATGACATGTAACAGGGGGACCAAGTAAGTAATAATATTAGTACCAAGTAAGTAATAATATTAGTACCAAGTAAGTAATAATATTAGTTACTGTACAAGCAGAAATATTCGTCTGGAATTTAATTTCGTCTTTTTCGTCCAAGGAGCTTTTGGACTAAATTTAATGCCGGACTAATGTCGATTTGTCCAGCTTTTCAATACACTCTTATGATCCATGGACGAAATTTACAACCGGACGAACTCCTTTTATTTGGGGTTGGGCGAATTAATTGACCGACGAAATGTCCTGCCTGTACAATACTCGCATTGCCTTTGACCACAGTTACTGGACATCAAGATAACGTTCTGGCTAGATGGACGTGAATGAGCTGCACTGCATGATTGTACACATTATATAATCCAATAGGGCATGAAAGTGATGACGTCAAAAACGGCCAGGGAGTAGTAAATTGACATCAGATTTCTATTTTGGATCCACTAAGGTGTGACTTTGCTTTTGCCTCAGTGTATGGGTGCATAGCAACCCACGCATGTCGTATGCAGGTGTGACTTTTCGTCCGCCATCAATTCTGACCCCACCCCCATTAGCCAACCCAGTCAATTTCACTGGCTATTAGGGTCCGGCGGATTCTGCCGGCAGAAAAATTGACAGAATTCGGTACTTTTCTGGTAAGTTTCATGCATGTTTAGTATGTGGATAAAGAAATGGAGCAGAATTCGAGGAATTGCCCGCCATAAGGTTTGTATGTTTCTGCCAATTTCACTGCTTTTCGAGCAGAATCTGCCACCTTTTCGAGCAGAATCCGCCGGTCCCTACTGGCTATATCACCTTGCTGTGCGTAAGACCGCTTGAAATGTGCTTGGATCCATACAAAACTGGATCCAAGTAGATCCAGTTTTTGAATTTTTGAAATTGCTGCTATGCTGTGACGTACATGTAGTACTTTCAAGCCATATACTAGTACAATACTAGTATTAGATAAAAAAGGATTTGAAATTTTTTTGGTTTGGGTTTGAAAATCTTTATTTTACATGTGCATTTTCTGATTTCTTCTCTAGTGTATGGTGTATTGCACTTTAATCCATTGTGTTAATTTGCCCGTAATAGAGGCCTATAAAAAAAAGTATTAGATAAACCTTGTTATACACGTAGCTGTCAAGCTAACAACATGATTGTAGATGTGCAGTGTAGCTCAGACATCAAGACAAGCACAGTAACTTAACGTTGGTAAGGTGGAATGGTGCGTACAAGAAGCAACAAACTGCCATGCAGGCAGAAAACGGCTAATTTTGGCAGGTACATTTTTTAGCATTTTCTGAATCTGGACGAATTTCACGATAAATTGAAATATTTTAGCGATCAGGGTTTCAGAGTTTAAAAAAATGACCAGTACTTTACTGCACATGCAAAGTTTTGATTTATGCGGCAAAACGTTAGCAAAAACACTCCCTTCGCTAAAATCACTCAAATACTACCGACGCTGAAGTTAGCCGTTATACAGTAGGTGAATTGCCAAGCTCCGTTGAAACCTAGTCCATTGATCTGAGTTTCCCGGATATCCTTAAACGCAAACACCCTCAGGGATCAAGGAGAGCTTGTGGACGTTCTGGAAAGTAGAACCAACTGTTGATCAGTCCCACACAGAAAACGGGACATGCTTCCTCTTTGACACTTTTCAACGATGATCCCCGATGGTAGGGTGCTATGTATGTGCGTGGTTCTTTTCAATTCATAGGTTTTCAATGTCTTCCTCACAGGTGTAGTTTTCTCGCTTCCAAGAATTGGGGAACTGATGTTAACCCTTTGTGACCCAGTGGCCCTAAAAAAAGTATCTCTGGTGTTCCTTTAAACTTCAATTAGAAAAGTCGGGTGTTCTTTCACCGATTTTCATA